CTTCGCCCTCATCGCCATTCACCGGTAATGATTTCAGTGTTCAGTGTTCACATCACATCTATTAAGGTTAAGTGGTTGGACAAGGGCAGGCCCGTGTGTAACCTTGAAATTGGAATCCCAATTTGTTTGATAATCAAATAATACTGCCCAATTTTATTTAAGATTAACCATTTTGAAAGTAATTTGATCGATTATTTGGGGTCAAACTTGGCATTGATTCTTCGAATTACTTGTTTTTGTTAAAACCATAATGCATTAAGACACATTTTTTGGGCCAACAATGCATTATTGGTTAGTTGTTTTCAGCCTCCACTACATGGTGATATTATTGTTTAATGGAATATCTTTTAAGATAATAATTTATATTTCTCAGCTGTATGTGAAAAACATTTTGGCCACAAAAAAAAAAATTGTGAAAAACATGGTTCATTCTTCATGTTATGTAATTATATGATTAAAAATATAATTCAATGGTGTGTGTCGGTGCATTACGAGCTTGATTGATTAGACGCGGCATGGTTCAAGGTTGGTGAGTGCTTGTCAATGACTCCAAGGGAAGCCGAAAACGCTGACGCTTCGAAGCCAAGGGATGAATTTTAACACTATCATCATTGGAGTGAGATTTAAATTATTTAAAATTAATTTAACGGTTCAAACGTGTAAAAATTTTAACTCGTGACCTCGTTATACAAAAGATTATTTGTTGACAAAATATAATTATAAGATTATTTTTATTTTTAAAGTTTATATCTTTCGTTAAAGTAATAATATATTATAGATATGAAAAATTAACATTAAATTATATCCACTGGACGCTCCGGATATGGGGCACCGAGACTGGTTCTTGACCCATAAATACTTCTTCTTGTTTAATTTGTGTCCTTTTTTCTGATAAAAGGACAAACAGTTCCAGATGTATCTGCAGGTAAGAAAAAAGGAAAAAAATTAAAGCAATACATACAGTAAGCCAAAAGAATAAACCAGAATATGAGAGACACGCGTTTGCTTGTATTAGCTTTGAATGCAAACTCACTGTGTAGACAGTATCGAAGTTGGTGAGAATGAGAGCAAATGTCTTTTGCAATCATCGAACCAAATCCTTCATGTGAAGATTCATCAAAAAAGAAGTTTGGCAAGCAAATGAGATTGAAGCTTTGCAATCCAAGGTCCCCAGTAATAAGAGTCATGAACAAGGTCTAAACTAGGGTTGGAGGAAGGCAGAGAATATCAAAATCTCTCATGCCTTGATTGGTATTGTTTGAATTCAAATTGTAAATTTAAAAATTTGAGTTTAGCTCAATTTAATTGATTTCAAAATAATTAAAAAATATTTATAAAGTTTTAGTCATTGACTCAAGATCATCATCATTTTATTCATGATGAGTGACCATAATAGAGAAAATGTTTCATAAAATTAATGAAAGTGGAGATCATGGGATGTAAACATCAAGTTAGGATCATTCATAAATAGAAAAGCCCTCGCTCGACAAAAGCCATCATCAATATCAACAAACTATTAATCAAATTTTTAGATTTTACATCTGCTACTTTATTTTATTTTTTCTTTTATCATGTAGTTTTAGTCTTTATTTTTCTATTGTACGACCGGCATAGTCTGTCATCTCTTTTTTTAATTAATATATTTTTACTTCCTTTCATCTAAATTAATTTTTTGTACTTTGAATTCTCATATTCGGGTGAGTTGTGATAAGGGAATTTGGGTTTCTTATGTCTAGTTAGAAGTCAGATTCTTTCATTCTTTTAAGATTTTGCATTTTTAACATGCCTTGTGACTAGGGGTGAGCATCGGTCGGTTCGGTTCGGTTCGGTCTCAAAATGTGCAGAACCGATCGATCGAATAATACTGAAAATGAAAACCGAATCGAACCGAACAAGCCAATCGAACCGAACAAGGACCGAACCGAAATTTGATAATTCGGTTCGGTCGGTTAATTCGGTTTTTCGGTTTGGGCCTATTTTTTAAATATTAAAACAAACAACACTACAAAATTGGGCCTTTTTTCTTATTTGTTTTTTTAATATGAGTCCATTCTAATTATACCCATATGACATAAAGCCCAAATATTATAAAGGCATGGATAATCAAATAAAGAATCATAAATAAACACCGATGATCAAATAATAGCCTCATAATCCAGTCACAATACTTACTGATGAGAGTGACTGATTGAAATAGGGTTTCAAGTGATGTTATTATTTTTTATTCTTTATTAAAATAAAAAATAAAAATAAAAATAAAATAATTTATAAAGTAAATATAATTTATAAATTAATAAATTATATGTAATTCGGTCGGTTCGGTCTATTCGATTTTAAATTTTACTAACCGAATCGAACCGATCAACCGAAATATTTAAAATAAAAAAATCGAATCGAACCGAAAAATCAAATAGACCGAATCAAATAGACAAAATTCGATTCGATTCGGTTCGATTTTCGGTTTCGGTTCGGTTTTGCTCACCCCTACTTGTGACACACGTCCCTTTATTTTTGCCAAACAGGTATGATAGAATGATTTTTGAAGGAATGAAAATAGAAATATAAATATGATAAAGAGTGATAACGAGATATAAAATCATGTTTGGTATGATTGAATAATTTCTATTTGATATGTAAAATCATAATAAAAAATACTATTATACCCTTGTAAAAAAAAAGTTCAAACATTCAACACAACTCGTACGTCTAGATCGTGGCCATCATCTACCAATAGCATTCCCTGTCAATTATCAAATAATAAGGTATAAATTCAGTGATGCATTTATAGGAAAAATGGAAAATAATCAAAGGCATTAAAGATTTAACAAAGAAAAGGAAATATACAAGGTAAGAAATATGAACACTGGAAAATCAAATCCAGATCTAGATCGTTGTTGACACTGCCGACAAATCAAAGACAACAACCTCACAGTCTCCTCGTTGATAGCCACCATTGGTGTTGTAGCCACTGGCCCATTGTCGCTTTAGTTTGTTGACATAGATATGGTTTACCAATGTTGATGTTGAAGCTTGTTGAGGAAAAGGGTACCTTTAGTCGACGTTGTCTTGCAAGATGGAAGTGAGGAGGAGGAGGAGGAGGAGATCGGACGGCAAAAGGTTGACAACGAAGGTCTAACGACAATAGAGAAGAATGTCGATGGAAAAGTTGGTCAGAGAAGACGAGGAAGAGTAGCCATGGAGAAGGTGAAGAAGAAGGCAGAAGATCATAGAAGGGGGAAAAGAAGTAAAAGGACATTGCTGTCAATACAAATTCTAACTGAGGATATTTTAGACTAAAAAAATCCAATCCCGTGGTCTTTTGATAGAATAGGGAATATCTCAAATGAGGTAATGGGCCATTCTATTAAATGAACTCTCCCATGCACTAATAGAGACATTAATTTAACTTTGGCACACAGTGAATAAACCATAAATATTAAAATAAAATATAAAATTTAATCACAGTTATAGTAGTATGTTCATAAGCTATGCATTGTGCAATCCATGCAGTAATTTTGTTCATTCATTTCATTTTTTACTTACCTATTTCATTGAACTCTGTGCAGTTTAAGTGAAGTATTTTTTTTAAAAAAATCTTCACACGCTCCACTAAATAATATTAAAATATAAAAAAATAGAGACATGTTTTTCAATAAAAAATTGTGATTATGATTTTCCACAGGAAATAATTTATCTAGTTCTGTCAAATAAGAGACGCAGTACAGCACGAAAATTGTTGTTTTATCATTTTAAAGAAACGTCCATTGCGGAATGGGCCTGACCCAAATCTAAATAGAGAAGCAAAAGTTATACCCAGCATCACAATTTCACAGGGTGTATATATATATATATATATATATAACAGCATGACGTAGAATAGGTATAATTTATGCCAACTTTAAATGAAAATCACATACTTTTGATCTGGATTTAAGTCTTGTACTAAAAAATTATAGTGTAAATTGATTACACAACTTTGCTCTTTGCTTGTCTTCCAAAGAGGAATGTAAAAGAATAATCATAAAATTGGAAAATGGCGTGGGAAAAAACGAAGAACGTTATTGTTATCATTTAATTGATTGACACGTCACACACGTACACAGGAAAGATTGCAAAGTTGACAACAAAAGCATATATAAGAAAATTACAGTTCAGACAATGAATAGATATTTCGAAATGTGTTTAGATTCTATTCTCATTTTTTATTTTTAAAAACAGTTTTATAATATAATTTTTAAAATTGTTTTTAAAACAAAACAAAATGAAAATTTATTTGATTATATTAATTAAAAAATAATTTTAAATTTTAAACATCGATTGATAATGATGATTATAAGTAGTTAATGATGATAATTAATACTAAAAATTAATAAAAATAATTATAATTTTTAATAATTAAATTTAGTGTATTTAAAAAAAATAAAACAAAATAACTTAAAGTTATTTCTACTTTTTTTCTTTTAAACACAAAAAATGAAAACAATTTTGAAAACAACTAAATAAAATACACTTATGCAAATAAATTTTTAAATTTTGCTATTTTCAAAAACAAAAAATAGTTTTTAAAAATAGAAAACAAACAGGCCGTAGTATCTAGAATTATCCAAAATATAAATTTAATGACTATATTAATAGCATAATTAAATCTAATCTCTTTATTTGGGTACTCGAACAGATTAAAAGTTAATATATAAAAATTCTGCTTCACAAAAATATGCTGCACTAAACAAAATAATAATAATAAGAATTGTATTACCAGAAAAAGAAAATTAAGAATTGGACATTTTCAATATTCCATCCGTTTCAAACAAAATGTGATTTACTATGAACTCATTAAACTAAACGGTGCCTCAAGTTTTGTTAAATCGGAAGTTATAGACTTGTTTAAAGTTAAGTGTTTGTTTATCTTTAACGTTAATTAGCCCATTATCCTAACTGTGCAAACTATGTCATTTTTCTAGCATACTTGCAAAGTGACCCATATAAAACGCAAAAGGAGAAGCACAACAGAAACTTTCTGGTAAGAATGAAATTTCGTTCGGCTATGCTAATGAAACAGAGTAAAAAAGTTAAAGAAGTGGACAAATTATCTTCTTGCGGATTACCAGTGCTTATGAACAACTTGTTCATCTGCCTTATTAGGCTCAAAAATGAACCTTCTTCTTCAGTAAAACCATCTTCGTACTCTTATTTTCTAAAGAAAAGTGAAAAATAAAAGCCAGTGGTCGCAAGATACAATCTAACTCAGTATAGAATAAGCAATTAATACATATTCTGCCACATTGTTGATCAGTTGTGCATAAAAGAGACGTCAATTCATCTTCCATATTTGCTTTTGAAGAGCTTCTCTTTCACTGGAATTGAAATCATACTGCTACCATTCATGATCCTCAAGCTCTGCCTTAGCATGTCAAACTCTCTCTCTGTCCTGTTCTTCTCGTACTCCATTGAAGCTAATTGAGCTTTCAAGGCTTCCATGGCTTCATCCTTTTCTTGCAATTCCCTCTTCAGATTTTCAATCTGGATCTCATCTTCCTCTGCTTTCCACAACAAGCCATCCCCTGTCAACAAATTGGCAAATCAATAAGCTCACACCAACATTCATGGCTTGTTTTCATCCTCTTTCTCCATCATTTCGCAGCAAGTTCATAAATATTTTAACCAAACCAGACCAGACCAGACCCGTTAACTCTAGCTCATGGAATTATGGAAACATATATAACATGATTACAACGCACAGCCTGGAAGAGAGACGAGAAAAGAATCTAGAAAACTTCATTGCATGATATGATTTTGGTGCAGAGGGAGAGGAATGTAGGAGGAAAAGTGAGAGACCACACCACCATAAGTTCTCTGAATGAGGTCATCAAGCTCAGTCTTGATTGCAAGGTATAGTTGCTTCCATTTCTCCACAGCCTCATCTCTCCATACCCTCTCTTCCTTCATTTTCTGAACCAGAAGCTTAGTCCCCATCAGTTCCAACTCTTTATGATTGTTATTGTTGCTGTTGTCGAAGTCGTTTCCCAGCTCTTTAAATTCTCTGATCTGATCTTCCTTCTCCTGCAGAACCATCCTGAGGTGCCTCACCTCCTCTCTCAGCCTCTTCCTCTCTTGCTTCCAATCTGCCTCCTTGAAAGTGAACAGCATCATGTCTCTCTCATAGCTCATGCTCTCTTTCTCCCTCTCATACACCATCTGCTTCATCTCCTCCTGCAGAATCTTCACTCTCTCTTTCAAAAACATAAACTCTCGCTTGCAAAGATACCTCCTTTTCTTGCTAATCCCTCCTCCCATCCTGGTCCTGGCTTGAGAGGTTTTGTTCTTACAGTGAGCTAGAGAGGAAAGATAATAGAGTTGTGGCTGGACAACATAGTTTCTTGGTAGAGCCTCCTCTCATTAATAAAAGTGATGGTATATAATGGAGAGGTTTTGTTCTTATAGCGGGCTGTAGAGGAGGAGGATAATAGGGTTGTGCACTTGTGGGTGACATATTTTCTCAGTCGAGCCTCCTCTCATTAATAAAAGTAATGATGTTTCTGAAGAAATACCCAAAGAAATTATACACGTACGCATGTATCTTACACGAAAGCTCACTCACACGCGCACTCGCACACGCACGTTTTTCAGTGAACTTCACTTTAATTCAAGAATGGAAGTACCGGCAAAAGAGGCTCGTGAGTCGTGACCATTAACATGGGCATTACACAGTGGGGTTTCACATTAAATTCAGAGGAAAAAAAAAATCCAATAGGAGCGTGAGGGAAGAATTATTATGACTCCAATAATTAAACAATATATTTTGACTAGCTTCTTCGCTGTAAGTTCCATTTGGTCCCACAACTGATTTAGCAAGGAAATAACAAAACGCTGTACTTGAAAATTGTCAAACTGGCTAACAAGTTCACATAAAAAGAGAAATAATTAAACTCGTGAAGGAATCTACTATTGAATGATAGAGAATGAAGAGAAAGATGTGTACATTTGTGAAACCCAGAAAGTGTTGAGAAGAGGGAAGAAGACATCCTATCGTGCAGGTAGTGTCGTCTATCGGGAGCAAGAACTTCAACGCCGGGGTGGGGAAGAGGAAGCGTACGACATCTCCATATGGAAACAAAAAGATTTAATGTTATTACCATCTTTGGATTCCCTGCTTCGAAAACGACTTGGAGGCAGCATTTCTGATTTTTATTGTTTTCTGTATTCCTCTGCCAGGGCCCCTGTCTCATTTAATTCCTTTCTCTACCCTTCTTCCACTGTGTGACGCATATCACTTCCTCTTCTTCCTTCATCCATACCCATACTTCAAAATCATTATCCTTGATTCGTCTTATTCCAGCTCTCACATGTATATATAATAATAACAAATCCTATCTCATTAGAAGACACCATATGAATAATATGATATTATTGTCTTATTTTTATATTTTATATCAACTTTCTCCAACTCTAACCCAAATTCTCTTTGACTGTATGTTATGCTTGGTATGTTTTTTTTTTTAAATAAAAAGATCAAATGTATATTAACAAAAGAAAAAGATAAAAAGTTACAAAGAAAGAGCTAATGAGGGTACATGAATAATAATAGGCCTTGCTTCACTAGGTGAGAATCATATGAATCACATGATGTTATTGTTTTATTTTTATATTTTATATCTATTTTCTCTAACTCCAACTCAAATTGTCATGTTTGATTTTTTTTTTTGATAAAAAGATGAAATGTATATTAACATAAGAAAAAGATAAAAAGTTACAAAAAAAAAAGAGTTAATAAAGGTACTACTCTGTTTTTATTAAGAAAAATTACCACTTTTTATTTTTTTTTGTATATAAGCAAAATCATATATTTCAATAAACATTTATTACACATTTCTTAAGTTATCCTTCATAATTTACATTAACAAGAAATAATTAACACATATTTATGTTGATTAATATAGGACATTTTAGTCCAATTTTTTTATTTTCAAACATAATTATTATGGTTAACTAACTTTTTTAAATTATGTAATATAGTTTTTTTTATATATATAAAAACGGAGGGAGTACATTAGTAAAGGAAAAGGTAAAAGGCAGATTAGAAGTTTGGTTAGTACCACGTTTCTGGAGGTTAAAGTTTTCAAAATATTTCAAGGGAAAGGAAATATCATGGTCAATGAGATATTGACCGGAATGAGAGAAAACTCATTTCCTGCTAAAACTGATGACCATATTTTCTAAATCATCTCTATTACCTGTATGTTCAATGTAGAAAAATTTGTGATCCATATTTTCTGTATGTCTTATTTTTATGTTTTACATCTACTTTTTTCAACTCTTACTCAAAGTCTCTTAGACTGTCTGTTATGATTGGGAGGAGAGAAAACTTGTCCCCTATTGAAACTGAAGATCAGATTTTCCAAACCATCTCTATTACCTGTATGTTCAGACTTGAAATTTGTGATACAAAATAGCAAACTCCTAGCAAAAGAGGACACAAAATATGTTATGTTTGCTGTGTAAAAAAAATGGATTTGAGAAACTAAAAAAGATAAGATAAAGTTTTTTTTTTTTTGAATGATGAGATAAAGTATGATTATAACGCATGTATGGTAGATAATGGAATGGTTTCTTGAGTTGCTCATGAGAGATAGCTTTCTTATTCATGTTTCCTTTCCTATTCCTATTCCTATTTTGTACCATAGAAAACTAAAAAGAAAGATACAGTTGTGGGTTCTAATTTCAATTACAAATTAAAGCCGTTACAACTTTGGCTTTAGAATATAAATTCTAGAAAAATAATCCTCATTGCGGAAGTCTCTCGAAATATTGAGCTATATCTCCAATCGATATTCATAGTGTGTATATAATATGATATAGAAGATATTTCCAAATTTTATTTTCCTTACCTTGTCGTCGCAATCGTTGATAATGTTTGTATGTACAAATGTATTGGCATTATTGATAGTGCATAGATAGGCATGGTATGGACTAGCGCGCCGAGTCCGGACACAACCTGAAATCAATGGGACAAGATATATATTCTTCTCCTAGGCAAAGTATGGACCACACAGAACTCTGCAATTCCCGTTGCAGTCCACAAATAAACATCATGATACATATAAATATTATTCAAAATATTAATAAGATTGCTTTTTTTTTTTTAAATGTCGATAAGTAATATTTTTCTTTTACATTAGGGTTTGAAGGTTGATTTTTACAAGCATTCTATTTTATTTTTTGTCAGGATGTGAACTAATCTAATTAAATGCCTGTCAATGCACATCGCAAACACATAAGATCTCATATATGAGAAACTCATGGATCAATATTACTGCTGCCAGATTTCTACGTAATTATAGAATGGTGGATTTCTCAAGATATTCCAATGCGACAACTCATTACCTCTCTCTCTCTCTCTCTCTCTCTCTCTCTCCAATTTGCTGTCACTTTCCATGGCTGCTTCCCATGAACTTATCGTAAAATATGTATTATACCTCCGACCCATTACTGTCACATGCCATGCTTCACTTGTTCCCTTTGGCGCAAATCATTTTTATTTCTTTCTTTCTCTTTGCCCCAACTTAGTGTCATGTCTTACTCCAACCCTTCGGGTTAGTGTTTCGTATTCATTATCATTGATGGGACTTGAGTGATCCATATTTAATTTAGACGGTTTGGATTTAAGTTGTTTAATTTTTTTTTTGAAAAAATACTTTTGAAAAGTGTCAGTAAGAGAATTGTCTTTATTTTTGATATTGCATTTATCAAAATAAAATTTATAAAAATTATAATGGTTTTTAATAATCTGAACAATTTAGATTTAATTTGACCAGTCTAAATTTAATATTAAAAACCTCTACAGTATAATTTTTAAAATTAACCATCTAGATTCATTGTGAATGATTTATATTTAATATTATTTTCTGTAATTTTTATATTTTTATTTTGGTTAATACAATGTAAAAAATAAAGATAAAATCATAACTGTCATTTCTCAAGAATAATTTTTTTAAAAAAATTTATAAGTTTGAAGTTTTAAATTCAAATTATTCAAATTAAATTTAAATGGCTCAAATCTCATCAGAAGTGACGGGCACATGATGCACCGAAGAGGATTCAAATGATAATCCAACGTAATCAATCATTTTGTCCTGAAAGAGAGAAAAGCATGAAGAAAAATTCGAGGCGAGACTGCCTCTCTAGACAGGTTAAGTAGTTTTTACATCACATCTACGCACAAAAATATGTAGGTTTACCTTGTGCACATCAAAAAACGACAGAACCAAACAATGCAAGAAACTTGACTCGAAGTCTCAAACTAATCCTTAAAGCACAAGTATCTCCATGGTCTGCCATTATTTTTACCCAATACACTGTTGTTATTTTACATCCCGGTGCCTGTCCATTGATTCGTTGGTACAAGTTTGTCAGTTTTAGCACCACATTTTTCTGACTTCACAATTCAAGGAGAGTGAAGGTAACATGGAGAGTAAGAAAAATAGCCTTCCCAGAGGAAGCAATAATGATGAAACACCGTTCAGAAAAATTTGGGTCATTGTCTCTTAGCGCTTGGAGGCCCATCAAGAGGGCTTTGTGCATGTTGGCAATTCGGTGGGGATTTTAAAATATGGGGAAAATATGCTTTCAGGTCTCTAGAGCTATGATCAATTTGACTAAATTTCAGATTTATTTTCAGTTAAAGATCTATCTTTAGAATTATGGGATTAGAGATGACATACAAGTGACCTGTTACTAATTTAATGATAATAATTGATAATAGTAGGAATTTTGATCAAAATTGATAACATGCAAACTCCAAGAATTAATTCTTTAATGAAAAAAAATGACCGGGGATTTGATCCAAATTGTACATGACTTTAAGGACCAAAACTATATTTTCTATAAAAGATGCTCAGGATTCTCGAGGATGATAATTGTGCATTATATTGAAATGGATAATGAGATCTTACTCGAAGTTGTTCAATGCATGTCTCCCTATGCACGGTTGGGATTGGCACGGTTATATGACATGAGCACATGACACATGGTATTTTAAGGTCGGTGCTATTAATTGTTATTTGTTCTATGTTTTAAGGAATGGAAACAAAGCTATTAATACATTGACCGTCATGACTTCAGAGAAAATGAGCCTTCAAAGAGTGGGTTTTGATATCACCTTCTTCACTTTATATGTTTAATTTGTAAATATTTTTTATGTGTGACCGTAAGGGGAAAAAAAACAGGAACTATACTAAAGTAGTGATAATAAAGATATAATAAGTACTTACATTACAATTTTTATATAATAATTTTTTTTGTTCTCGCCAAAAGCAACCCTGATTCCTAATTCATGCCATTACATCTTCAAAATTATATATATATATATATATATATATTGACGAATTTGTGTTCATTATGGTCAGTAAAATTCTTATGTCAGTAGCCCTTGTAGTCCAATGGTGCTGACACTCTTCCTTTATCAAGGAGGATGTGGGTCAGCTCGCCAGGCGTGGCAAAAATTACAGTGAGTGCTTTTGTTTTCTTTCCATAAAGAAGGAATGTATAAATCCCACTATTCTTATGGTCTACAAACCTAGCTCCTCTTCATTTACTTAGAATAGTATTTATAAAGTCTAGAATAAATTCATGGCACATGTTGGTTGGAAAATTGATAAGGGAGATCATACCTCCTTTTGGTACAGTAAGTGGTCTCCTCTTCTAGAATCTCTTATTTTTTATGCATACCCTATTGCGGAGCCCATTCTTCATGCTCGAGTTTTCGATCTTTGTAATTTCGTTGGGGGATGGAATTTTAGTCTTCTAAATCGTCACCTCCCTTCTGAGGTGATAAGACTCATTGCGCTGGTGAGACCACCTAATCCTTATGGGGAGGATGATGTTATTGTTTGAAGGCCATCCTCTGATGACAACTTCACCATCAAATCGGCTTACAAGGCTATGACCTCTCAAAAGGATCGTAACAACACCGACATTTAGGCTAGGATTTGGAAATGACTTACTTATGAAAAAATCAATTACTTTATTTGGAAGGCTGCTTGGGACAGACTTCGGCTCAAATCTACTTACACCGAAGGGAATACTCCTCTTCAAAGATCTTGTTTTTTTGGATGCAATTCCCTTGATTCCTCAATCCATATTCTATGAGATTGCATAGAAGCTCGTCTGGATTAAACTGGTGAAACCCTCAAAACTCAATATTTTCTTTTCCATTACGGTGCAGGATTGGATAATTTGGAACGCAAAAGTTAAGGCAGGAAATCTAAATACAAGAAAGATCCCTTGGCAGAGACTTTTCGCTCAAGTTTGCTGGAACATCTGGAAGACGCGTTGCAAAAAAAACTATTCCAAAGAAATCTCTCAAAATGTTGACATTGCTTTCTCTAGTACCCAGCAAATCACCAACGACATGAGACTTCAATCTAAAGTTAACCTCTTAAGTTGTGATTGCGAAAGACTAGAGGCACGTTGGACACCCCCAAAAACAGGCTGGATCCGTCTTGACATTGATGGGGTTGTCAACGCCATCGGAGCTTTTACTTGTGGTGGAATCATACAAGACGATAAAAGAATTTGGATCAAGGAATTTTTGAAATATCTCGGTTATCATCCAAGCACAACAGCTGAACTATTAGGCATTTTAGAAGGTCTACAGTTTTGTTGGAATGCCCATTTTGACAAAATCAACGTTTGCTCTGATTCTGTGGAAGCAATTTCACTTATCCAACATAATTTTCCTGATAACCATCCTCTCTTTGAAATTATCAACAAAGTCAGAACTCTAATAATGAAAGATTGGATTATTACCTTCGACCACACGTTTAGAAAAGCAAATAGATGTATGAATATGTTCACTCATCTTGCATCTCGGGATAATCTTGATCTTATTATTTACAATCATCTGTCTTTAAGATACAGATCTCTTATAAAATCTGACATGACCTGATTTTATTCTCGTTTTACATGGTTTTTTCGTATCCTTGTATTAAAAAAAAATATGGGTGGGGGAGTAAGTATTATATGTAATTGTCCCCTGTAAAAAAAAAAATCATATTCTATTTGAACTAAATCTTACTTTGCTTGTTTAGAATGACAAATCTTGTTCGTGTGACCTTGATTCCTAATCGTTGATATTTTTTATTTATATATTTTTCCTCTTGTTTTGCGTAAAGAGTACTACATGATAGAAGTTATGTATTAAAACTCGGGGGCCTAACATTTGACTCAAACTCAAGTTTATCATTCAATTGGATAAGACATATGTAAGAAAAATGATAATAATTTTTTTTAATTATATAATAATAATTTAACCCTTTAAAATGTCATAACTCAATTAAAATTCTTAAAGACTTTTGTATTAATAAATTTTAGAATAAACATAACTTTTGATCCTTATATTTTTATTTTTTATTATTTTTGATCTCTCTATGAGCAAAGTGTATGGACTTTGAAAGGATAAAAATAATAAAAATAAAAATGTAGGGACCTAAAATATCGAAAAAAGAATATAGGGATCAAAAGTAAAATGCGAGTAAAATATAGAAATAAAAATTATATCTACACTAAATTTTAAATTAAAAGCACCATTTTACCTTTATCGATAATTTATGATTTCTTGTTCAATTTTTGTAATTTTTTAAATAAAAGTTATGATTAGAGCTTATTATTTTGAGAACTTATTTTTTAATTATAGAAATTGTATTTAACAAATTGTGATTTATTATTCAATTTTTACTAGTCTTACAATAAAAGTTGTTATTTCTTATCTGAAAGTTGTGGTTTGTTATTTTGAGACAAAAATTACACTTGACAAATTATAATTTCTTATTTAATCTTTTGTAATTCATAGAATAAAAATTATTACTCATTAAACAAAAGTTATAATTGAGGCTTACTGTTTTCAATAAAAATAAAATATTTTTTTACTTTAAAATTTATTGACACTAAAATTCTTGAGGACTTTAATAAAATTATGACATTTTGAGAGATTAAATTATTATTTATATAATTTAATAAATTTTATTATCATTTTTTCATATATATATATATATATATATATTCTTCTACACTTTGGCAGTCTATATCCACGCAGACCATAGAACTCTATAATTTTAGTCACATTTGACAAATAAAATGATAAACAGATAGTATATTTATGATAACATTACAGCACTCAAAATATCAGTAAGAGATTCTCACATGATCCAGTTTTTATTTTTTATTCGAATCTGAACATTCGAACACTTAATGAATTAAATATAGACTTTTGTTTTCAGCATAAATTAAATCCAAACAAGACCAGATATAGTTGCTTTGCCAGACTGAACTAATTTTTGTTTTACATCATTCAGATTACTTGTAACATAATTATACGTGCAAAAAAATTGGAGTGGCATTTTTTCTATTAAAAAAATGTTGAGAAAGACTTAAGCGTAAAGACAAGGAAAAGTCAAACTAGCCGTAGACAGGAAAGGAGGGCCCGCAGGGCCGTTTCTCCAACGGCCAGGAGTTCGTGTGCCGCCAAAGATATGAATGTTTTATTTCCCAAATTGCCCCGCATGTGACTACAAAATGTTTACAATGCCATCGGATCAATTACTTGCTACTTATTTCTTCTATACCACGAGATCCAATTAAAATTAAAAATAATATCTCAATCGAGGCAACAAAAATCTAATATCTCAATTAAATTCTTTATACTCATATAAATAAAAATAAAAATAGTTAAATTTAAATGTATATTCAATTTACATGTTTACTACTTTCATTTTAAACATTAGATGTAAACATTTTTATATTTTTGGTAACCATATACATATTTATTTTGCATAAATATGCAAAGTGTGTACTTTTCTTTTTTCAATGATGCAAGGTATATATATAGAGAACATAGCACACAATCCCTACACATGCTCTACTAGCCTAACAAATTTTAATGTAGACTTATTTAAATTTATATGAAATAGAACTTACAACCTTTTGTATCAAGGGGGATTGAGGTTCATGCTATTAAACCATATGATTTGTTACTTATTGATTGATTCACTGTATTATTTCATTCATGTAATGCACCCTTTTTCATAGGAGTAAACTTGTCACATTCCACTAAAAAAAAAAAGTAAACTTGTCATGTTAATATGATCATTGATTTTTTTTAAAGTGAAAATATAAATTGGACTTCTAATTCATGTTATCTTAACACTTAACCATGGATTCATTATGTTTTTGGTTTATATAAAACAATTAATCACAATAGAAATGAGTATTTGTTTACCTCATAAGATAATTTTATTTTGAGCTGGCTGCTCACAACAATTTTTTTTCCAAGAGAAATATATGTATTAATACCAGCACAACACCATAAGTCATAAATCATTTCAATTTGTTTTTCATGGTTTTGTAATTGAGGCACAATGTACATTCAAATAGAGAACTAATAATAATTACCAAAGTATGCTTTCACATTTAAACATAATATATAATTCACATAAAGATATGCCTTTTGGTTTTATTTATAAGACCAATAGAGAATAAATTTTTTAATCATATTTATAACTCATGTCATTAATTTTTTTTTACAAGTTTTCCCTCTCACCTTTCATTAAATATTCATGAAAGAAAGTATATTATTAAAATATATATTTAACTAGGATAAATGATATTTATGATAAAATATATTAAAAGTGACTTATAAATAAAAATAGAAAGGTTTCACTTGCATAATTTGCAAAAATTTGTGTTGGTTGATATTCAGCCAACAAATTCAAAGCTACACACACAAACACAGTTTTTATAAGCTAAATTCCTCATCAATAAGTTTTACACGAGCTGTTGATAAGAACATGTTTACTGTTTACTGTTTACCCAAGCTAGCTTTAAACAATTAAAATTATTGAAAAGATTATAAAAAAATTAACTGTGTGTATGTGTAATCATTAAATTTATCTAGACGACACTCCTGTAACTAAATCACATTCTTCTCTTGGGGGAAAAAAACTTAAGCGTGGAATATCTTGACAAGCACACCCTATTTAGTATATACCAAAAAACTTAAACCAAAACTAGCATCAATGGTCGGTAAATAATCACCAATAATAACACGGCAGTGGCGATGGATGTAAATATGATTGAAAACAATGGCAAACTACGAAGGTCGTGGCCAGCGTAAGTGCCTATCTTGTTAACGCATTACGTAATAGGGAAACACAAAGTGCAAGAAAGGGGAGAGAGAGAGAGAGAGAGAGAGAGAGAGGGAGAGCGCGCGCGCGCAAGCGAAACAGAGCGGGCGAGAGGGAGGAACTGAAGGAAAAAGAAAGAGAAAATAAGGGGAGATAATTGCAGAGGAGGGGTTAGGTTCTATATTCTTCTCGTTAAAGCCCCACCATTATGAAGCCTCTTCTGCAACAACGCTTTCCCGGGGTGACATTTTCCGCTTCTTCATGATCACCATATAAAGACGACACTGGGAGAGGAATGAGGAATCGGGAATCAATTTTGGTGTCTCGGGTGTGGAGATTGGATATTCTTAATTATGTGCTTGATATTAAATCAATTGATAGAATACATTGTCTTTTCCCACGTTGGGTGGTAGTTTCTGTCAATGGAATCTCGGTTTGAGCAGCTGATCGTCGAATTCGTTTGGGTGATCAACATTTAATTAACGATGGTATCTATTGCCAAACCTTTAGTGCGTTAATTCATTTTATATTTCGTTTTTACGAGTTTAGAATTTTTAGCTCATGGGAGCAATGTGCATGTCTGGTAACATTGTTCTCTTCTCTAGTTAGTTTGGAATGAGGGTAAATTCTTAGCTTAGAGAAGATAGGAACGTGTGTGTGTAATTTTACCATAAGTTTGTGGCCTATTTTACGATTTTCAGGGTAAAGGTTTTTTCTGAAAAATGCTTTGGTCATTAGGATACTCATCTCATGTATAAACTCAGTTTTTTACGTTGTAATCATCTTGGTGAAGATTTTATTTGTATATACAGCAATATTTGTGAGAGTGAAAACTGATATAATCTTGAAACCATGCCTTTTATCATGAAGGTCTTCATTTTCTGTGAAATTGTGACAGTAAAATGGTTCCTGTTTGATACAGCTTCTATAAACTCTTGCGAAGTTAGTTTTTGCATCTGAATATTATGGAGAACTGGAAATATTTTGCACCTCATGTTGGATACTTATGACATGACTGAAAATATATTTTCCAATAAAATAGTATTGTTTTTAATGTGTTTTGTTGTCGGACTATACAAATCCTGCTCAATATGATTGGTTTGTACTCCATTCTGGTTTCTCTGCGGTGGCTGGCCATTTCACTCAACAAAATTGAAGTGAACGTAGTTGAGCTACTAAAACTGCCTAAGTGTACTTCATCTGGATTAGCATGGAACGTATTTTTACCCATTTTGAGCTGACAAAATGCATATAAGCGAATGGATTCTCGTTTGCTTATGGATGATAATTTTTGACTTTAACTGATTTTAAAGGGTTTTAACTCTGACATGTGCTTCTTAATAACTATTAGTCTTTGCTTGTAATGTGGAAAGAAAAGTTTCACCGGCTGGCTTTCATGCATGCAACTAATTGTAACTTTGTTCTTTTCACTTGTGCTAATGTCAACTTAAAACACGGCTCTATTCTGATGATAGAGGCACTGGTGATTGTTTTGGATGTACAGGTTACGACAATCAATTTCAGAGTTGGAACTCAAGTTTTTGTCGAGGACCCTGAGGTAGCTTGGATAGATGGAGAAATTGTGGAAACTAACGGCGAGGAGATCAAAGTTATGTGTACATCAGACAAGACGGTGAGTCTTCTGAAATTCATTTTTATCCACTCCCTTAGAACTGAGCACATGCACAAAGACGCTATCTTTTTCATTATATACACACAAAAGGAACACACAAGATGTGGTAGATTTCTTTCCTTTCTTCCTCTGTTAATCTTTGTGGCCCGTAAGTTTAATGCCCAAAGTTATATGAGTGCTTGTAATAATAATTGTTTTAACTGTTTTTGATGAATTATTGAGAATGTGACTGATAAGGGACTTACTACTCCATAAGTAGCTGTCGAAATTGAGTCTTGAAGATGGCAAAAAAATGTTAGGAGAGCTTCGTTCAGACTGAAATTTGACCTGACTCGTATCCATATTAATTAATAGTAGATACTAGATGGTTTGTCACAAAAGAAAACAATTATTGGTAATGTCGAGTTCATTTCGTTTTCATTTGTTGTTCTCACTGAAGAGTAAGTTTTATAAACAATAGAGAAAGAAAAAAGAACGAGTATAGGATTGGATATTTTTACACAAGAATATCTAGGGGGGAAAAGAAAAAGAATAAACATAAACATAAGTGGAAAATACCATTATAGGAATCCCTCAAATTTATCTGGAAAACCATCAAGTAAGTTCCTGTAGAGAGATCATTCCTTTTTATTTTATGCGTGGTATAGATTTGTTAAATATGTACATCATATTCTTAAACATTGTCAATTTATTTTATTTTATACGTGGTAGAATTAATTATATAATTATATGAAACTAATATATAATTTGATGTGTGTGTGTGTGTGAATGTCCATTCAACTGCCAACGGACTAGTAATTAGTAAATCATGAATTGTCTTTTATACATTTAATAATCGGTTTGATTATTAAATATTTAAAGATACTAAAATTTTGAATTTGTTACTTGTTAAGCCTTGATGAGGAAGGATTGATAATATGAAAAATGACTAATAGGATGAATTTAAATATGGATTGTCGAATACCACAACTGTTTTCAGCCATGGTGATGCTTTTCAATTATATTCGTTAGATCAATGACATTTTCAAATTAAAATATAAGAGCAATATATCATTCAGGTTTTGGGTATTTGGTTATCACTTGTGGGGAAATTTTGCAGTTATGAGGCTCTCCATACGGAATTGTTTAGTTCAAATCCTGTCTGTCTGTCAACTGTTAGTTTATTTTCGCGAGCTAAATAATTAATGTACAATTAATTCCTCTTATTTTTTGCCTTTTGTGTTTACTGTTTATCATATTCTTATCGAATAAATGTACTGTAGTTGAAAAACCAAAGCAAGCATTATATGTTTTCTGTAGGTTGTGGTCAAAACATCCAATGTCCATCCCAAGGATCCTGAGTTCCCTCCTTCTGGTGTAGATGATATGACAAGGCTGGCATATCTGCATGAGCCAGGGGTTCTCCAGAATTTGCAATGTCGATATAACACCAATGAAATATATGTAAGCATTGACATGATAACCTCACCTTTGTTTTCTGCTCTGAGCCCCTCCCCCCTATGGGGCGAATGAAAATGAGCTATATACAGTAGCTAGTTAGATGTTACACGGGAAGAAACTCCTTGTATGTAACAACAAAATATTTATAACCTATAGGGGGACTTCGATGAATAATAAGGCAACTACACGGCTCCAACCTTCATGCTTGCTATTCATTCATTTTTCTGTCTGCACTGGATGCTGCCTTTTATTGTTCTATTGCCATTTTCCGTGTGTGGACTAGAATATTGCATCTTTGCTCTTCAATTATACAAGAATTAGGTTTGCATTCCATCATCTTTCTTTATTGCCCACTGGACTGACTATCTTTGGAAATGAAGTTGACTCCCTGGCCTTTCCAGACATACACAGGAAATATATTGATTGCTGTGAACCCTTTTCAAAGATTACCTCAACTCTATGGCCGCGATGTGATGGAAAAGTATAAAGGATCAGCGATTGGTGAACTGAGCCCACATCCGTTTGCAATTGCTGATTCTGCATATAGGTATCTATTCTGTGAGTTTTTAGCGTTTTGGCTTCTTAGGTATCAGTATGATCAAGATGATTGTAGGTACAGCTAAATCAATAATGCATGAGAAAATGAAAATAGTGAAAATGCCAATTTGAAAACTTAAATGCTAATGATAATTATTGTTTTTCTTTACAATCATCTAAAACAGTGGAACTATTATCAGCCTTTTGCCCTCATCAACATTTTATGCGTCAGGTTAAAATTGTTTCTGAGCTATTGGCAATTTTGAGACCATGAGTAATTTGGACAACTTTGTTTTCATCGCCTTTGTTATTTTCATTATCTACAACTTTGCTAGTCCCCAGAATTCCTTGAAAATGAAACTTGGGGAAACAATGCATTTGCAGGATGATGTTAAATGAAGGAACAAGCCAATCAATTTTAGTCAGTGGAGAAAGTGGAGCTGGCAAAACAGAGAGCACAAAGATGCTTATGCATTATCTTGCCTATATGGGCGGGAGAAAGGAATCTGAGGGACGATCTGTGGAGCAGCAAGTTCTAGAGGTAACAAACAAAAAATTGTCCCCACCCTGCTTACTGGGTGAACCTATATATCTATATATAATATAAAAACTTTAACAAGCCACAGTGTGGCTTACTTCTCAAATTCTGTACAACACGGGATCCACACTGGTTGAAAAAAAGGGGGGAGGCAATTAAGTATTCTTCTTTTTGATAAAGCACTCTGATTCTTATGTTCTGAATTGGGACCTTTTGTTTATTTACTTCACAGTCCAATCCTGTTTTAGAAGCATTCGGCAATGCAAAGACTGTTAGAAACAATAATTCAAGGTATTAACTCAGCTGTCGAGAAAGGTCCTCTTTGTTCCTATCTCTGCAATTCTTATGCTCATTTGATTGGTTTAAACTCTGACCTGAGTTGAGCATAGCGCTATTTCAGTCGATTTGGGAAGTTTGTGGAGCTACAGTTTGATCAAAGGGGGAGAATTTCAGGAGCTGCTATTAGAACTTATTTGCTGGAACGATCCCGCGTCTGTCAAGTTTCAGACCCTGAGAGAAACTACCATTGTTTTTATATGATTTGTGCTGCACCAGAAGAGGTGAAATATTCTTTTTGGATAAGAAATTATTGCATACAGAAATTAAGCCTGCTTCTTTTTGAAGCATTCTTCTTTAATGTTTAGTGTTCTAATTTTCTGAATCTTTTATGACAAATATATGCTAGTCACTGGGTATAAAATAAAATAGCCTGATTAGATTTTAATTTATCATTTTATTCCATCGCATATAAGTTAATCTGATACAGACGTGGGACTACAGAATACGATAAAATGCAGGTAAACTTAATAATGCATTTCTAGAAGCCATGAGAAGCTGTATATTTGAGCTTCTGCAGTGTACGATATCTGAAACAAAAACCTTGCCCGACTGCCTTCATATTCGCTTGTTTTTAATCTCTTCCTGAGGCCATATTTCTCAAATGCAAGGCTTAAAAAATGGTCCACAGGCTAGGCTTGATGATATATGAGCTAGACCTGAGAAACATATTGTGGTATGAGGTAGTGCTTATTGCAACACAAAGTTTCATGGAATAGTTACCAAATGTTCAATAAGAGTTCAAAACTTCAGAATGAGCTTAAGACTAATAATAATGTTGTCCGGAAGTGGTTTTGACTTTTGAGTTTGCTTTGCTGGCTGGATCTTCTTTTAGTTACCTGATTTAATGAGTGCTGAATGTGAACTTGTACCCTTTTTATTTATCTAGGATATTAAAAGGTACAAATTGGAAAATCCAAGAACATATCATTACCTAAACCAATCCAATTTCTTTGAGTTGGATGGATTGGATGAATCCAAGGAGTACCTTGCAACTAGGAGAGCTATGGAGGTTGTGGGTATCACTTCTGATGAGCAGGTATCCTTCAGTACAGTGTCTATGGATGATTTTGTTATTTGTTTCTTCACAGGTTTTTGTCACACGTATTTTTAGGATGCTATATTCCGAATAGTAGCTGCAATACTTCATTTAGGAAACATTGAATTTGCGAAGGGGGACGAGCCGGATTCCTCTGAACCAAAGGATGATCAATCTCGTTTTCACCTGAAAACTACAGCTGAACTTTTGAAGTAAGTGATTTCCCCCTTCATCTTAGCATTTCTACAGAATTGAAATTTACGTTTATAACAGCTGTAGTTTACTTATTTCTTAATGCTAGGTGCGACGAGAAGTCACTTGAGGACTCCTTGTGCAAACGTGTTATGGTAACACGTGGTGAGGCCATAACAAAATGGCTTGATCCAAATTTGGCAGCTCTCAGTAGAGATTCATTGGCCAAAATAGTTTACTCAAAGCTGTTTGACTGGTAACTGTTTGTGGAGTTAATGAACCTGTAAATGTGTTTCTATTTTATTTAAAGTTCTTATGAAGGTTAAATTGGGTACATATGAGTTTTTGTAGTTTAATCAACATAAATACTATTGGTCCAGGATTGTGAAAAAGATTAATAACTCTATCGGTCAGGATCCAAATTCGAAGAACTTAATTGGGGTTCTGGATATATATGGATTTGAGAGTTTCAAGACAAACAGGTGCTTAACCGGTACGCTTTTGTCTTTGTTTTTCACAGGAATAATTTTTTGCTGAGAATTTTTGAAATGGTTTCTACGGATGAGGTGGCACGCTTAATTAAATAAATTCGTAGTCTTGCAAATTTGAATTTTAATACAAAAGTTGTAACTTTTCTACTCTTTGATGCATCAGTTGATGGACATCCTTGACCTGAGACGCATCTGTTTTCATTTTGACTTTCTTTTGTACTGTTCATGTACATATCCTTTATAGGGATGCAAGGACCAAATTGCTCTGCTGGGGTAAATAATTTTTGGTGATGGATTGTTCTCATAAGGCTTCCTTAATTTTGATCTCCTCCTCCTAATTTTCTGTTGACTTCTAATGCAGAATGGTTTTGTTGTGATATTTGTGATTAATCAATATCTTTTGGCTTAATTTTTCTTGCGTGACCATGTTCCTAAGTTTTCCAGCTTTTTATGTCATATAATGGGTCCTGTGCAGTTTTGAGCAATTCTGTATCAACCTGACAAATGAGAAATTACAGCAACATTTCAACCAGGTTTCATTTTATACATTTTCTCTATTTGGTACTCATCATCTATTAAATTACTTTTACTGACTTGTGTTGTCACATTCTTTTTCTCTTTTCTGGTACAAATCAATATTTCATTTCACAGCATGTCTTCAAAATGGAGCAAGAGGAATATACAAAGGAAGAGATTAACTGGAGCTATATAGAGTTCATTGATAATCAGGATGTTCTTGATCTCATCGAGAAGGTAGGTGATTTATCCTAAAGTCCACTTTTCACTCTAGACGAATTATTCAAGTTTGCCTTGTAATTCCTTGTATCAAATGATGCTTAATAGTGATCCCTAGAATCAGTTACTTTCACCATAGAAAAAAAAAAGATTTATCTGGTCATCTGAGATCTTATGGAGAATATTATTCATTGGAAATTTAAAGTTCGAGTACCATGATGATCAAAAAATCTATTTAAAGATGTGGTGAACCAAGGATCCCCTCAAAGAGGTACCTATATTTAGAACTTGACCATACTTCGAACAGGATTGATAAGAAAACACCTGTAGGCAATAAAAAAAATTCTACTTAAACCACGATGTGGCATAGACGAAATCTACCACCCAGGCGAAATTGTTCTTTTCCTATTCTTTTTTGTTTTAATTAAGGAAATGGGACTTGCTTATATTTGAGTCCATCTGGGGCAGCCAGTATTTAATTCATGTGTGCAAGTTCCGTAAATATCTATTAACGTATATTTATATTGATATTCAGCTACGACTGGGATGCATCGCATACTCTGTTCAATTGACAGATCTTATGGGAAATATAGCTGAGTGATGGTGCCTAGATATCATGGACCTTATCCTGTGAAATTGATTCATTTCATCTTTTGAATAATATCATGTGGCTCAACTTTGACTTCAACACTCGAAATCTTACTCTTACGCTTACCTTGTGCATTTTGGCACTTAACTATTTACGTATAAGCCGTTTTTGTCCATTTAACTCAATTTGTCTGATCCCTTGTTCACTATTTGAGACATGGCGTATCACAATTTAACAATTTGACCCAGCAGGAATTTTCAGTCAACATTTAATGCAATCTTAATAACTGCGAATGAGAAAAATCTGCGTAAGGATCTGCTCATAAAAGATTTTTGTTTGACGAGAAATCCAACAAACGTGTCTCTACTTGGATTTAGATAGTAGTGTAGTAGAAGTACTGACTTTTGACTTCATAAATTGGGCTTTACATTATTTACTTCTTGTGGAAGGAAACTGAACAGCTGCACTAGTTTGCTTATACTTTTAGTTTCCATTCTATGCATAAAGTAGAGTGTCATTTTCTTATATTTTGTTTTTCTAAACTATACTTTCATAAATACAGAAACCTGGCGGCATCGTTGCTCTTCTTGATGAGGCTTGGTATGTATTATATGATAAAATGGCGCCATTGCTTCCTTTCTTGACATTTCTGATAGACATCTGCATTCTGATGGTTCATTTGTAATTACATTTTTTACCTTCATGTTATATACAATTAGATCTGCTTATGCATATACTTTGAGAGTGTAAAACTGATCTGCTGATTTGTTGCAGTATGTTTCCAAGATCAACACATGAAACATTCGCGGAAAAGTTATATCAAACTTTTAAAGACAATAAACGCTTCAGCAAACCAAAGTTGTCTCGTACTGATTTCACCATCTGCCACTATGCTGGTGATGTACGTGAAGTATATTTTGGTTTAAGTAATTTTTTCACCTTAAACGACAAAAGCTAAAAGTAAATGCCAAACTCTTAATTGCAGGTTACTTATCAGACTGATTTGTTCCTAGACAAGAACAAAGACTACGTTGTTCCAGAGTTTGAGGCACTACTCGGCGCTTCAAAGTGCTCCTTTGCTTCAGGGTTGTTTCCACCTCAACCTGAGGAAACTTCCAAATCATCAAAGTTCTCCTCAATAGCCACCCAGTTTAAGGTATGCTTTCTTTTTCAGTGTATGCTCGCAGTTGATCTGATTTCTGTTATATTATTTTCATTCTTGATTCATTTTATGCAGCAACAACTACAATCTTTGCTTGAAACTCTGAATGCTACTGAGCCACATTACATTCGTTGCATAAAGCCAAATAATCTTCTCAAACCAAGGATATTTGAGAACACTAATGTGTTACAGCAGCTTCAATGTGGGGTAAGTTGATGCTATTTTGTTCATATTTTCTGTATGTCGTGAATATCCTTCTCAATTGATTAGGATTTTGTGAGTGTTATCTTTAGGGAGTAATGGAGGCAATTCGGATAAGTTGTGCTGGATACCCGACTAGAAAGCAATTTGATGAGTTTGTTAAGCGGTTTGCAGTTCTGGCACCTGATGCTCTTAAAGGATGGTATTTATATCTCCTTTCCTGTTTTGCTGTTGTTCTTCTTCAATTTCTGTAGATATATGCAACCTTCAACTATTTGAATCAGATTAACAATGACCATATATTTCCAGCTGTGATGAGAGGACTGCTTGCGTGAAGCTGCTAGGTAAAGTAAATCTTGAAGATTATCAGGTACCTACTGATCCCTGCTGATATTTGCATTTAAAGCCGGTAATAGTTTTTACTTTTTCCTTAGCATGGGATGGTTGGAATTACCGATATTTTCCGTTTTCTTTTTGAAGCATTTTGACTTGTTAAGAAAATGATTTGTGAGTTATATTTTCATGTAAATTTTGCTTGAGTGGTTATCCTTTGACAAAGGGGAAGCATTAAGTTTTTCAGCTTGCTACTGATAGAGTTTAGTGCTATTATATTCATAATCTGCTGTGGTTTCTAGAGGCAAGAAAACATTCTTGCTGAAACTTCTTGTTGCAGGTGGGCAAGACTAAAGTGTTTCTGAGAGCAGGACAGATGGCAAAACTAGATGCATGTCGTGCTGAGGTCTTGGGACGATCTGCAACCACTATTCAGTGTAAAGTCCGCTCATTTTTTGGTCACAAAAAATATGTTCTGTTGCGGTTGTCTGCCATACAATACAAACGATCTGTAGAGGTATTTACATGAATTTTTTCTTGCCGTTTGTTGATTTTTTCTATGTTATGAATGGGAAACTGATTTGACATCTTTGGCTAATTTCAAGGATTTCTGAAATCTTTCTCTTTTTCATGTCCTGTAAAATTAATGTAGGAGAACTTGCTCGCTGTCTGTGCGAGAAAATGAGGAGGGAAGCTGCTGCTTTAAAAATTCAAAAGAATGGTCGCATGTATATTGCTAGATCATCTTATAAAACTTTGCGTGCCTCAGCCGTTTCCATTCAAACTGGCATGCGATGCATGGCTGCTAGAGATGAGCTCCAATGCAGAAGGCGAACGGAAGCTACAATTGTCATCCAAGTAGGACATAATTTTGTTAACAACAGTGAACTAGAGTCATGCCTGATATGTTAGAGTGCTTTATTTCTTGTTTCTATCAAAATTTCAGCATCAAATTGGATAAGCGAGTTGAAATTGGAGGAGTTAGTTTAAATCTGCCATGATTGAATGCTAATATGTGTCTGATATGGCATTTTTAAAATTCGTTCTGCCTTTAGCAAGGGATGCCAACTGGAAAAGTCTTCCGTTTGCACTTCCTTTTAGTGGAGCATGTTTCTGTTCAAAAAAGACAGAAGAAGGCTCAGGAACTGGAAGTGCTTGGCAGTTGTTGATCTTTCCATATTTATACTATATAACGTTTAATTAATTGTTTATTTAACATTAAATGCTTGAACTAATGTGAGTTGATGTTTATCAGAGCCACTGCCGAGGTTATGTAGCCTACATTCAACTCCTGAGGCTAAGGGAAGCAGCAATCATTATCCAGTGTGCCTCGAGGGGACAAATGGCCCGTAAAGAACATCGGAAACTTCAAATGGTGATTCCCTTCTTTTTCTCCCGTGTTTGTTTCTTCATAATTCTTCCAATATAACAAATTGGTGATTTTTTTAATTATAGACAAGCTAAATTTCCTTTTTGTCTGAAGGGCAAGTTTTTTGTTGGGCTTCTCCTAATTGATGAAGTACGAGAAGTGTTTAATTCTAATATTTAAATTAGTTGATGATATAATTTTAATTTGGAAGATAAAGGTTTTCTTTTTTGGGTCAACTTTTGGAATATGCAGTTTATTTATTAGTATATTGGAATTTTAAACCTAGTAGTTTGATATCGTGATATCTTACTGTTGGTAGGCTTAATATTATAATTAAGATTTCTTGGAGTTTCGAGCTTAGGTTGCCTGTTCTTGTTGAATTAAGGTTGTTTCAGTTGTCTGCCCAAGATATGGCATCTATCTTGGGGCATTTGGCCTTTTAACATTTAATTTAAATAAAATTATTTAAAAAAAATTGTTCCTTTGTTCCTGTTCACTTTCTATATAATTCAAATCTTTTAGTGACAATAGTAATTCTCCTGATTGCTTTTCCATGCAATGCACTAATACTTGCAAACGGATGTAATATTGAGAGAGCTGTTCCTTTTACATTTTTTTTTCTCCTATCAAATCATGAAACCTGCAAAGCCTACAGTTTTTTTTTTTAACTAATTTAAATTTAATCCTCTTATATTTTGGCCCAAGAATTCCATTCTTTCAAGAAGCTATACTGTAACTATTTGCTTAATTGTTCACATATTTGAAAAGGTTTGAAATTTAATTATTTGCAGGCTGCTAGGGAAACCGGTGCTCTCAAAGCTGCCAAAGAAAATCTTGAAAAGGAAGTTGAAGAATTAAATTCTTGTCTACAAATGGAGAAGAAGATGGTGGTAATTTACTTATTTTCAGTTTATCAAAACGTGGAAGTGTTGCGGTTAACTTTCTCTGATGAATGCCCTTCTAAGAGGATGTTGTCTTCTTCTCTTTACTTTTATTCTTTCTACTTAATTCTTCATTCGTCAAAAAGGGGAAAAAAAAAACTTTTTCAATTGTTTTCTGTGGAGTCTGGTCACTTTTATATTCATTAAAGTTCCCTGTCAATGTCTGTAATTGCCAGGCAACTTCATTCTACACAAATATTGTTCCACTCGGCAGAAAAGCCTCACAACTTAAATACAGAACTTGTTTTTGTTTTGAGTGTACGTTTTTCACTATCAAACTATTATTGTACGTTGCTATTAATTTATCTACGAATGCAGGCTGATGTTGAACAGGAAAACGCAAAATTGAAATCTGCCTTGGAAGAGACTAAGGAGGAAAAGGCAAAATTGAAATCTGCCTTGGAAGAGACTAAGGAGGAAAATTCAAAATTGCAATCTGCTTTGGAAGAGATTAAGGCGGAAAATGCAAAATTGCAAACTTCCCTGGAAGAGACTAAGGCATTGCACTTTCAGGAGGGCCAGAGACCAAAAGTTTGGGTGAACCAAATTCTAATACGGACGAATGTACTGTTGTTGATACTGATTTTATCAAGAAGTTAACAGCAGAAAACGACCATCTCAAGGTATGAGCACATATTATGTTTTGAAGTTTGTGTTTCTGGACTAGCTATATTTTGCCTATATCCTTCCTTATTGTGGTCTCTGGCTTTGCAGGCATTGGTTAAGTCATTGGAAAAGAAAGTTAATGACACCAGTAGGAAATCTGTAGAAAGTGACAGCAAGTTTATTCAAGACCAAGATACTAACCAAGATACCAAGTCACTATCCATTCAGGAAGATGATCCAGCAAGCAAAGCAGCTGATATCTTCTGGCATACATGAATTTCCAGTTGGTGACAATGAATTGAGCAATAATCTTGCTGCAGAGAATGAACATCTCAAGGTATGCGTACAAAAAAGTCCGAAATATGTTCTCTTCAATAAATTCTCTATCAAAAAAAAATGAAATATTTTTTCTGAACATATATTTTTCTCATATCCTAAACTAGTTTTTACTCTGGCTTTGCAGACACTGGTTAATTCATTAGAAAAGAAAATTGATGAAACTAAAAGACTTAGTGAAGAACGCTTGAAGCAAGCGTCAGAAGCTGAAACTAAAGTAATTGAGTTGAAGATGGCTATGCAGAGGTTCTTATAGTGGCTTCTATTTCTGTAAGACTATAAAAATTTCACGTTTGATATTCTTTTGGTTTAATATTTTGCTTATGTCTATCACAGGCTTGAAGAAAAACTCTCTGATATAGAAACAGAGGATCAAATTTTGAGGCAGCAGGCTCTACTGAGTTCATCTTCTAGGAGAATGTCAGGGCATTTATCCTTTTCTAAATCTCAGGTAAAAAAAAAAAAAAGGTTGGAAATCACGTCACATCTCTGCAATGTAGATTATATTGACATCTTTTTCTTCTCTTACTATTGCAGCCTTCAGAGAACGATCAAGATGTAAGTGAGGATATTTTGATCTGAAAGCTCTTTTTTTTTCCCTTAAAATTATATTTTACCTACCTTCACACCAAGAAAAAACAAATCATCTGCTCGTCCTTGTAATATAGTTTTTAAAGGAAAGCCTATTTTCTATGGGATGCACAGAGTACTCCGAGAAAAAAATTTGGTACAGAGGCGGATAAAGAGTTGAGGAAATCTCAAGTTGAAAGACAACAAGTATGCTCATTGTTGCTTTCGTTTAATGATTCAGTTCAAAAGATTGATGTCACTTTTCGTGAGAATCAGTACTGATGAAGTACTTTTTGCTTCCCTTGGAGTAGGAGACTGTAGATGCTCTTCTGAAATGTGTGGCAGAAGCAGACCTTGGGTTCAGCGAAGGGAAACCAGTTGCAGCTTATACCATTTACAAGTGTTTGCTGCACTGGAGATCTTTTGAAGCAGAAAAGACAAGTGTATTTGATCATCTTATTCAGATGGTTGGTTCTGCTATAGAGGTAATTAATATACCAGATCCGGTTTATGGTTTGTTAACAGTTATTTAGCAAGTCTTTCTTTCCCTCTCTCGCCAGGGAGGGGGGGGGTTAATAAACTTGATAATGCAAAATTTTCTTAAAATTGACTGATATTTTATACCAACACGGTGACTTTGTAGTTCTATCTGCGAAAACTTCTTTTGCGATTTTGCTGTGTGCTTCTTTCAAAATATTCTCATATTTTCAAGATATTTAGATCTCTATCTTATCATATTATTGAAGTTCAAAGACGGTGATTCCTATGGCAGTGTAGGAACCTTTACATTAAAGAAGTGAATTAAACTATGCTATGCTCTAATCTTTTCTCTGAATGATAAGAAGAAATATTGAAAAAGAATGGGAAACTTTCAATTATAGAGATACATTTCTCTTTAACTTCTTAAAATGAGTCGCATTTGATATTTTTGCAGGATCAGGACAATAGTGATCACATGGCTTATTGGTTATCCAATACATTTGCATTGTTTTTTCTTCTTCAGCAAAGTCTCAGACCACCTTCAGCACAGAAACCTCCACCCCCTGCAACATCTTTTTTTGGAAGGATTTCCCAAGTATGAAGATTTATATTTATTTATAAATATCTAATTTAAAGCTTGTTGCACGTGACATGAGCTGCAAGTAAACTGAGTCATACTTGATACATCACATCACTATTTGATCTCCATATACAATTATTTGGTTGCTAAATATTTACCTCGTTATTGTGTTTACAAGAATGTGTAAAGTTTTCCAGAATATATGATTTATAATTATAGGTTTTGTGGTACACATTTTTCCTTATCATCAACATTATTCTAATCTGACCACTCTCTTTGGAAGCTCTTCATCTGCCTATCAACTAATATTGGCTACTCTTTTTATAGACTATTTTTTGACTGTTGGCTTTACATCAATTATGGAGTCAGTTACTAAGTTGGCTTGCATTTTATCATGCTTTATATCATAGATAGATTAAACAATCCGCAATACAATGCTGGTTCTCACGGTTTTATTTATCTTACCATCATTAAAAATGTTGATATGCATATTCCTGTCTTAATTTTTTATTAGCAGGTTGTTTATAATAATAATAATAATAATAATAATACCAAACTCAAAATTTGTCCAATGTTGTTTCTCAGAGTTTTCGTTCATCAACTGCTGGTACTGCACTTGATAACATTCGCCAAGTCGATGCTAAGTACCCAGCTCTGCTTTTCAAACAGCAACTTACAGCATACGTGGAAAAAATTCATGGAATTGTTCGAGAGAATTTGAAGAAGGACTTATCGCCTCTGCTTACTTGCATTCAGGTATGGGGGTTCTTTAGTTTGTCATCACATGTAATGATCTTATAGGTTGTGTTTTTCAATGTGTGTGCTGTACGAGACAATTTTATTTTAGTTGACTAAATGTAAATGTCAAGTTGCTTATTCCAAGCATGTCAATCCAGGCACCTAAAACATCAGAGCAAAGCATATCAGATGAACAGTCAAATGATAATAGCACCCCAGCGGGTTCTTGGCAGAATATTATTGATTGCCTTAACAAATTTCTCAATACGATGAAAGAAAAACATGTACGTAAAAATTTAGCAGTTCATCGGCTATGGGTCCCTTGCCTTGCCTATCCCTTTTGTTGTTGTGGAGCAAACTGTTTTTTCGGGTCAACTTGTAGGGCAAACTGACTTGTACATTTTTTTCAGTTGCCTCCTGTTCTAGTTCAGAAGATATTGAATCAGGTTTTCCAGTACATCAATGTGCAACTCTTTAATAGGTAATGTATCTTTTCTCCTTTGATCAAATTAATGGTAATGCTATGATATTATATGTATTTCGGTTTGACATGTGAGTTGTGCATTCTTGGTTCTCTAGCCTCCTTTCAAATAAAGAATATTGCACATTTACCAATGGAAAATTTCTAAAAGTGGGGTTGGAGGAACTAGAAAAATGGTGTGGTGAAGCCACAGAAGAGGTACACTCACTTAATATTGCTATTGAGAACATAATGAATACTCTTGAGTTTTAGAAGTTCCATCCTCCTCTTTTTATGCAAATTCATGCCGTTCAAAATTTTTGAATGATAATTTTATTTCTTTTTGGTTCATAATGACTTCTGTGTCAGTATGCTGCTTCATGTTGGGATGAACTCAAACATGTGAGGCAAGCAGTTGGATTCTTGGTATGTGCTTATACTTGGCCTTAAAACTCTTTCGTTTTATATTATCTAGCAACCTGCCCATCTTTGATCTTCCAGTTTCATTCGCTAATATCAGCCTCTTATCTATTAATTAATGATTTCACTTTCTCTTCCTGATTTAATTTTGAATGCAATGTTTCTCCCAGGCTAAAAATGAGAAGACCACAATATCCTATGATGATCTCACTAACGATATCTGTCCGGTAAGTGTGTTTATCTGATCTGAGTAAATGATAGCATGGGTGTATTGAAATATGGTTCTTTTTTCTGGGGGGAAAAAAAAATAGAAAGGTCAAAAGAACACAAGAACTCTGGAAAGTTGCGCATGCTAAAACATGGATTTGGCAATTGGATTGACATCCAGAAAACACCAGTCATTGCTCTTGAAGGAGAATACACAACCATTATCATACTGAACATTATTATATGCTTATGCGAACTCTCTCACCTCTATCTGTTGAATTCAGATCCTGAGTGTTCATCAGCTTTACAAAATTTGTTTACTTTACGGGGATGGTAGTGACAGTGAACAATGCGTATCGACAGACGTAAGTGATAGAAGACGATAAAGATAGACATACTCATTTTCCCCAGTCGTAGTGTTATCTGGATACTAGTTATGGTAACACAACTCCTTACGCAGGTCACTACTAGGTTGAAACTTCTAATGACAGATGATGCAAATGACGACAGCGACTCCTTCGTGTTGGACGATAATTCAAGGTCAACCTCACTCATCTGCTCGTATTCTAGGCAGTCCAAAGATGATCTATTATTGCCATGAAGAATAAAATTGACACGTCTTTGTTTTCCATCTGCAGTATCCCATACTCAGTTGATGAGATTTCAAATTCCTTCCAAGGAAACAACTCATTAAAAGTACAAGCGCCAGCAGAACTACTTAAGAATTCAGCCTTCCAATTTTTACAAGATTGATGCCCCGATTTCAGTCCTCCTCTAATGCAGCTTACCGTTCGAGATTCAAAACCTCTTTCCCGGTCAGACACCAAGCTGTAAATCCATCCACCTTATCTTTCCTCTAAATTTTTTCTCTGTACCTTCTGTTGCCCTCGCTGTAAGATATTTTCTCAGTTAGTATTGTATAGCATGCTAGGCTGTTTCCGTAGTTAAAAGTGCGGGATAGGTATCATGCTGCCAGTTTACTTCTTATGTTTCTTGCATTCCTTGCATTTTTTGATGGGCACTGAGGTACATTTCTTTGTAGGGTTTAGTGGTTTTTTTTTTTTTTTTTAGGTGGGGGGTGGTTGAGAGCTAACATGTATGATAGGAGGATTTGATCTCGTAGATTGTTGTTCGGCCACGAATTGGCCACCGTTGTAAGAGCATTGCCCTTTGTAATGTTGTAGAAATATCACAATCTGCTTCAATTGTATTGGTCTTTGAGACTCTAGGTCAAATCAATAAAATATCACAATTTTTCTTCATGTTATTGATCTATCAAGGACTATTTTGTTCGACAACCTAATTGTTGTGTTCATGAATTATTGCCTCAAAATTTCACGTCCCTTGACACATAGCCACACCTTAATCAGGGGGTAAAAACACATGCAATTAATTCTTTTTCCAAATTTTCTATTAATGTACATTCCATTGCATTACCTAATTGTTGTGTTCATGAATTCTTGCCTCAAAATTTCACGTCCCTTGACACATAGCCACACCTTAATCAGGGGGTAAAAACACATGCTATTAATTCTTTTTCCAAATTTTCTATTAATGCACATTCCATTGCATTACCTTTTGCAATGAAATAGTTATTCTCGAAAATTATTGCGATATGTAAACTATTCATTCAAGAACATTTTCTTTTTCACAATAAATCATTTTCAGCTTCAATTATAGTGAATTGAATTTTCTCATTATATTGGCTGCGTAAACTACGACGATACCATGCCTTGTTGATATGGAGTACTTTAGTTAAGACCATGAAGATTGAGCTGTAGATAATTTCAACATCCCAGTCATTAACCATATGCAATGATGCACCATGGCGACACAAATTTATATACATTCTTTCATTTGATTATTCTACGAACTTAGAAAGTGCCTTCATCTCAACATAAGCTTTATTACCCCTCTTATGTTAAGTTTGGTGCCTCAATCAAAATTTAGACTAATAATTCTCATTGCCAACAGTCAGTCCATTTAAGAAAAATAACACCCGGAAATTTTCCATTTAGTCATTGTCAATTTGATAATATGCAAGCTTCACCTACAAATTTGCTCACTTGTCCAATAACAGAAGGGAAAAAAAATCATAACTAGAATCAAAAAGGACCACATCCAACAGTAGCAGATTGATTGTGCCTCAAGCATACTGTTATTTAAATGATGCAACATTTGACAGGCTCTTAAAAACAAATCTCTTCATCAAACCAAATTGCATCTCTCTTTCAAATTTACATGTGATAATCTACCCATTTTAGGTAAGGAATAAAAGCATAGTTCAGTCTTCCACCCACTCCCTATTCTATATATTGCTGACTTAGACCACCGAAATTCATTTGATACCGTACAGAATGAGCTGGTCCATTTTTCACATAGCAAAATATGTTCCATTGGTGCACAAAGAATATAGCTCAGTTCATCCAGTAGCTGAATAAAGACATTAAAGGAAAAATAGAAACATATAGAAAGCCAGCACAGGCCGAGTCCAAAATGCATACGATTATCTACGGCCTTCTATTACTATAATGAAAAACTAATTTCTTACTTTCTTCAAGAAGCTTAACAGTTGGCATGCATTTAACATTAAAAAGCTACAGGAATCAACTTCGTCATATGATCAAAAGCAAAGTATAATTTTTCACTCAATGCCATTAGTTTACAGCAAACACATTATTTAGAGACGAGACATAAAGCAACACAAGACAACAATGTTACTAGTATTAAACTAATGCAATGAATCACATTTGGGAAAACATACATAAGAAAAGTCACATGAGATGAAGACTTTTCCTATATGGGGTGAAACAACATGAATATTTTTCAGAGTTTTCACAGTCGCAATCAAATGAGAACTGCAAAATCAAATATACTAGCTAAGTAATTGTAGATAATAATGCCATGTGTAAAACTCATCTAGTTCTGTCTCAAAACGTGTAAAATTCACACAGTATGATATGGCATTTGACTTAATAGAACAGAGAGAAAATAAGAAAGAAAGAAACAAGAAGTAGCCAGAAAGTCAATTCTTACAAAGTGGAAGCAATGCCTATGCCTCTATGGAGTGATACATGTGAGCAAAATTCAAACATAAGTGGCGGTCTCTGTTATCCCCCCAGCCTCCCCAACCCTTAAATCCAGCATTATACCCGGGCTGATTTTTATACACCTGCACTTCCCAATCTGATCCAATGTTAGGAACCTTGTCGTGCTCCTCTTTTTGAATGTTCACCACGCCATTGTCAATACAGACTTTGTTCTCCCCTTGACCCTGATGCAAACCACATTTCCCAAAGTGAACTGCACTAGTTCTTGGACCTCGTAGTGTGTAAACAGGGCTTCCAAATGAGGGATAAACAGTAGCCCACATTGTGATATCCCAGTTGTAGTCATCGAAGAAACAAAATTCTCTAGCCTTCATGTGTATTTTCCTCCAAACAGTTCTATTGAAGGAGTAGCCCACATTTCCCATTCGTTCCGCAATCAAACTTTCCCCTCCTTCTCCTCTTGAGTTCACATCAGAAGGTGCTAAATTTGCAGCATAGCAATCAGAACATTTTTTAGACTTGAGTGAGATTAGCATCTGTATATTGCGATATGCATTTGGAAAGATGAAGTGGTCCTCTTCAATGAAAAGAATGTGACCAGAATGCTTCCTTGTCTCCTTCAATCCATCCCATATCGTGTTCATCATCCACCACCAATGATGCTTCAACGAAACAATCTTTGGTGAGCGATGGTTGCCATACTGATCGGGATTTCCTACGCAGTGTTTTTCACTGGCATCATCCTTATCCTTACAGTCAGAAGGCGAGACTCCAGGAAAACTATTAGAAAACAAATGAGGTGAGTATGGAGCAAATATCTGTTTGACTTGGCAAAATCTGATTCCATCAATGACCTTGTTCATATTCTCAAAGTACCCATCATGACTAACAATTAGTAAGGTCTCATTGATCCCTTCCACCTTTGCAAGGCTGTCAACAACTACTTGGAGATATTGAGACCGGTTATGAACATATAGAACGATAATTATATGATCATTGGCCAGAGTTGGATATATATCCAGGTTTTTTGGAGGCAACTGGTTTCTCTTTTCCAGCTCTAAGGACAAGTCATTCTGTTGGGGGAGCTGAAAGTTGTATAACTGTCTAGACTTCCAGGCAGCAGATGCTTTGCTATCATCAGCTTCATTTATAGGAAGGGTTGCAGTGGTTGATCTTGAATTGGATCCAAGAACAAATTGCAGTAGTATAACCCCAGATAACGTAATGAATACAACGTATAATAGACGGCGCAAAGCCACATCTCTAGGATGGGGTTTTTTGCTTGCAGCCATAGACTAACTATACAGAAACGATAGAAAGGGTTTAAAGAGACCCACAATCTCAACCAAACATTTATTGCTTCATTAAAGTGATAATAATAGAAACAGCTGTCTCAAATTAGGCAAAAATCCATCACTAAATATCCTTAAGGAGTTAAATTGAACAAGAGGGAAGCTAAGCACCCTAAATCTAAGATGGCCCGGATATTTGAGATTGAAGCAGACAAACCAACAACTAGTCGAAGCCCACACATATGATTTGCTCCTTCAAGAAGAGACAGACGCAGAAATCAAGTTTCTTGAAGTGAAACCTGCAAAACCTTCGTGGGGAGTTAAAAGGATAAAGAAGGCGATAAAATCAAGCAAGAGGGAAATTGAAGACAGAGGAATAGTGGCGAATAGAGACGTAAGGAAAAATCAAACATGATGAGATTGCCAGGTTCCCATCGAAGTGCCGGCAATTTCCAGGAAGACCGTAGTCAGTCACTGCAATGAAAAATACGTTTGACTGACTGAAATTAAAAGTAGCATCGAATCCTTATTTTGGACATTTTCTTCGGCCTGAATTTTTTTTTAAGAAAATTATTTATTGATTTAAAGGGAAAATTAAAAAACTTAAACTACAATTTCTTCCATTTTAATCAGTATATGTAACGACGTATTAGGAAAAATCTTGAAATATCTACCCACATATATTGTAGAATTAGAGTTACCAAATACTTAAAACATACTATTTGGTTGCTGGCTAAAAACTTTTTGTTTAAGAAATGTATAATTTTTCCGCAGAAAAAAAAAAAGGTGAGATATGAAGTCTAGTTCTTCTAAAAATAACAAGTTAACAACTCCTCATTTATTTGGCTTGTAGTGTGTTATATATTTACATGAACATTAGGTTACGATAATATGTATACATATATACATATATTAATATTGGGCTAGTATTGGGCCATGCTTCGTATGTGCCTTACATTTTTTTTTTTGGCAAAACTAACAAATTAATTGAAGGGAATTTTTTTGTTGCCTGCATATTTTTTTTTTGAAAACAATCATACTTAAAATAATATTAGATACTAAATCTAGACATTAGAGTTAATAATTCAAGTCATGTTCAATGAACTGACTTAAATAAGCTTGAAAAAACTTTAGAATCAAACTTAATAAAATAATAAATTTTTTATATTCGAACCTATTCAGGCAAATCCTAATTAAGTTTGAGCTTAATTTAATACTGAATAAAAAATTATATATTTTTTAAAATAAAATATAATAAATATTAATTAATTTTTTAAGTTTTAGATCGTTTTTATATTAAGATATCATATATTTGAGTGCATTAGTATAAATATTAAAAAGTTAATATTTATATTACCATATTTTTAATATTTTTAATATCTTAAGATAATATTTAAAATATGTTTTAGCATTGATTTTTATATTACGAGCCACATATTTTTTAGAAAGTATTACATTTAAGTCTAACAGAAGAAAGTTTATTACCCAAAAGGTCTTATAAATTTTACAAATACTTTCAATCTCAAATCTTGTACATTAACGATTAGGCAATGGTTATTTACAATTTATTATTATAAGTTGTCATTTTTTTTACAAATTATAAATGATTATTGTCCAGTTGTTAATGCACAAAATTTGAGACTTTGAAAGTATTTTGAAAAATCTGTGAGACTTTTTAGTAATAAATTTCTTCCTCGAGGACTTGAATATAATTTTTTTTTTAAATGAGTCTCATGCATTGTTTAAGTTTAAAGTGTTTAAAATCAATCCAAACCGACATGAATCAATTAAAATTAAAATTTAATTTAGTTTTTCTTTTGAAAAATTTGATTGATTTGATTTGGTTCAAATTTTTGTTTCTTGAAACTTAAATCAAATTGATTCAAGTCTTATTATGTTTATTTTATATTTTTTTTAAATTTATCCATTTTTTCTCTTTCCTAAATGTGGTTGTATATAAATGATGGTTAAAAATATGTTATAATTAGTTAAGCATTGTCTATAATTTAAATGATATTTTTTAAAGATACTTGTCTATAATTAGTTAAATATTGTCTACAATTAGAAAAAAATGCAATTATATATATTTCACAATAAATAATTATTGTATTAGTTTTTTTTGGGAAATTAGACTAACTAACTTTTTTCTACAAAAATTAATGCTCAAATGTCATCATAAATTTATATTAAATACACTTTGATCAAATAGTGCCGAAATTAAAATTATATAATTTAAAAAATGTCTGTAGTTTCATTAGTTTTTAATAATTAATGATTTGAAGGTGTTCGTATATGATCACTTTGCTATTACTTATTTTCATGCTATTAAAATATTTAGAGGAACTAAAAATTATATAAACTATCAAGTGACTATATAAATGCACTCTATAAGAAAAAAATGATACTCATACTAGGTGTAAGTTATAAAAAAGAGAGGAAGAGAATCAAATAAATGTGTTGAAGCTTGATTCAAACTTTAACCAACCTGAACCAAACCAACCAAGTTGATTTTCTCAAACCAATTAAGTCTCAATTATAAGCAATTTGATTGGTTTAGTTCAATCTAGTTTTTACCCAAAACCAAATTAAACGAGCTTGTGAACACCCTCAGTTTAAGAATTAAAAAATATATTGTATATTCTTTATAAAATAACAATAATTAATTTTAAAATAAAAAATATAATTAAATTAAATTTCAGAATAAAAAATGCAGGTATTGAGGATGCCTAAGATCTTAATGAATTTGGGTCGGGTTTAGCCATACGAGTTTTTTAGGAAGTTTGTGCCTGTTCAGATTGAACCTGAATAAGCCTAGCTGGCCCAAATTATTGGCTTTAGGTAGGCACATCTCCTAGTGAGAATTTGAATTTTAATTCATCATATTATGAGAAACTAACTCATTCTGCTAAATCCAATTAGTGAAAAATGGGAATTCATGGTGGGGGATTATGGAACCTATTGGGCCTTAAAAATATAGCGGACCTTCTTGTTGATTCAATGACCACACGGGCTTGGGCCTAATGAATAAAAGTGGGCTTTCATGTCCCCACAAATGGTTTGATTTTCGTACGATAATTGTGGTGAGATCAACGGGCCAAGGGTGGTCTGGATTTGAACTTCTTGTGTTCCTTAATAAAAAAACGCAATGTGGACTTTTTATTAAACTATTAATTATTATTAATTAATGCATCATACATATATTTTCATACCTCCACAAAACCTTTTTATTAATTATTACTCCCTCTGATACTATACACAGGGCAACTCCAACCAGTTCATGTATTAAAAAAAAGTCAATTTTATCCTTAATCTCTACAGAAAAATGTCAGTTGTTTCTAATTTCGCTTATATTAGGTATATTAATGGCAGAGTTTTTAAAGCACATCATGTAACCTTAAACCATCACTTGCTCAAGGAACAAGAGCTTTTCATGAGTGATGATTCCTTCCTGGTAAATTTGTTTAACCCGGGTAGAGGTCCTGATGAATGAATTAAATTAATGTTTGTGTAATACTAGGTAAAAATTTTATATACAATACATATATTTTTTTATCTTGTTGAAGTCATATCTTACCATTAACACATGAATTCCAAAAATGAATTTGCAAATTTAAGCAGCGGTTACCCGTATGACTTTTATCATCTTCCTTATTATATTCATAATTTTTCTTAATTTGTATGACTATTTTGTTCAGAATCAATTTATGAGGTAAGATAATTTAGATTGAAATGTGTATTGTTAACTATAAGTTCATGAGCGTAAGTGATAAATTAAGCATCGGAGAGCATGTTATGCACTGGGGGAGAATTTGGATAGCACATGGAGCAGCATTTTACCTGGGAAATTGATTAATAAGTCATTAATTGGTTAATTAATTAAAAGTTTCTCTCAACATTTATGTGTTGTTGACCATTCCATTTCCATTCTCTCTCCAGCATTCATGTGATCACATGTGTCCCCCATGTTTCTCTTCTGATTCTCCTCCTCTACTTCACTCCTCAATTATTTTATGCAATTTCAGTTATTACAGTTATGGAGTTAGTTGCGTTGATTTATATACACACAATTTCCCTCAATTTTATTTTATATTGCATATGAAAAAATATTCTTTAATGACAAGCTAAAGGACAAAGTTTCAAAAGGAAAAACAACAGTAACAAACAAATACTTGTATATAATCATACATGTAACAATACAATTTATAAGTCAATACAAGATGTATTTTTTTTATTGTTACAAGTCTTCTTATTGAAAATAATCATATTCAATCGAGATACAGTGTAGTATTAAATATAAGTATTGAATATTATATTGCAAGTCAATAAAAGATATTGTTAGGCCCCTTTCATTAAAAAAATGATTAAATATACAGTGAACATATAAAATGATGAGATTAAATTGCATATTTGTGAAGCATATATAACATAACATGATTGAATTCATTAATTAATAGCAAGTTGAATTGAAGTGGGATTATTTTATGGAGTTAGAAGCAGACAGGGATTGGCGTCAATAAATAGGTCCAGCACATTGTAACTTCTGATTGCTTGAAAGAGCAAAGTCTTCAAACCATATATAGATTCATTGAACTAACGGATAAAACTGCTCTTTTAGATCCCCACAAATATTGCCAAATACTCTCTCTATCTTTATATATAAGAAATCTTTTAGAATTTTTTTTATTTTTAAATATAAGAGATTATTAGCATATTTTTTAAGGAATGAGTTATTATACTCTTATTAAATTGAAAAAATAAATATAAGTACTCTCATTAATTTACTTTAAAAAAAGATTCATTTTTTATTTACAATAATTAAAAGTAAAATTAAAATATTTCTGTACTTTTAATTAGATAATTAATTTTTATTAATTTGTACGATTCGATTAGAAATATCTTATAAATAGAGACAGAAGGATTAACTTCTTCTTTTAATAAACTACCATATATCATCCATGATCTTAGTTAATTCAGTCATTTGTTTCAGGGTCTAATTAATCTTTTTTCCTGAAGTTTGTTCTCACTTCAATTCATATGAAAGCCAATTGAACCACATTCAGAAAAGAAGAAGAAGACAAAAACCAATCAATAGACTTTAATAGGTTTTTTGTTTTTATTTTTCTTCAAATGGTCCGGAAACAAGAAAGAGAACAAATAGACGAGAACGGTTAAAGAATATCACATCTTACTTTTAAATCTCAATACTTAAATATAGATCATTCAATCTAATTAGTATTATAAATTACTTATTAAGTTTAATTTTATCCAATATAAAAATTTCAATATCAACTTAAGATTGCCTAGTAACTCACATGAATTTTAGACATCTCAAGAGACGAGAGTTAGACTACAGGTTTGAGAAAAGAGGTACAAGAAGAAAGATTTTGGTTGAGCCGATCGAATGATTATCAATATTCGATGGTTTGCTTTAGATATATTTTAATGACGGAGACATGACCTAAAATTAAGAAGAACTGAGCTTCGT